AACAAGGTGTTCTACTCTCTTCAAGAATTTTTAAATTGTTGATGTTCATTGTATATTTTAATATTTTACTTATCAAAAATGTATATGTATAATCTTGTAAATTTTAATTACTTTTAAGCTCTCTGAGTAGTCCAATAAGTTTCATGTATTTACACTTTTTTTATGTTGTACATGTGAACTTTAGTGATGAATAAACTTCTATTCTATTCTATTCTATTCTCTATATTTTTGAGAATCACTCTACTCAAAAAATTCAATCGAGTGAAAATATTCAAAAAAACATGAGTTTGGTCTGTTACACATTCACTGATACTCTGTATTTTAGTAATAGTTATTGAAACATAGCTTTCATTATCCTCTACAACTTTTTGCCGAAACTTTTTTGTGTCTCTAGGAAGCAGCTATCGTCCATCCACCTATCGTTGATACACAGATAGATCAAATATATCAATTGCCGGATTTCATTTGATAGTCCTTCCGTTCCATTTCAATTAATATAATAAGGCAGAAAAACTTTTTGGATATTTTATGTTTCTTATTATATGGTAGGAACTAACTTGTATCTTTTTACAAAAAAAAAAAATAAGAAATGCATTGGTGTTCACATCTACTAGCAAATTAAAAAAAAATGGAGCTTTGGAGTGCTTTTTTGAGACATCTCTGACAGGGAATTGTATGACCTACTTCTCGGAAGAGAAACGTTGAGAATTTGTTGTGATGAAAAACAGAATCCAACAAACGAAACATCACATTGAAAATTGGTTCATAACAGATCATAACAAACACAAAGGGTTATATTGTATACCACCAGAAATATATAATGCGGAAAAGAAATTGATATTTTTAAATGTTCAAATAGTTTTAGGTCAAACAGAAATGTATACGTTTTTTCGGAGTAGTTCGTAGAACAAAAAACTTTTATTCAGAATTCTTAGGTTCGATTCTCACTAAAGGCTGATTTTTTTATTATTTTTTCAATCACCCAATTTTCAAACAAGATGAAATTGAAAAAATAACAAAAATAGGAAATATTTTTGAATAATTTTTTGGTTGCCTTTTGTTATGAAATTCAATGAAATTACTCTCATTAAGAATATCCTTCACAAATGAATCTCATTCGGAAATATTCCTGATACAAGTCATAGAAAAAGTACAGTATTCTACTACAAAATTATCATTACTTGTTTGAATGATTTGCGACAAACTTCTTGCTCGTTGAATAATATACTGATACAAAATTACAACAATTCGACTCACCTGGATGATAATGGAATATTATATTAATAATGTCTTGATCTCCCCATGTGATTTTCAGTTTATATTTCTTGTAAATAGGAACAACATATTCTTTCCAACGAAATGCCCTCATTCTAGTTAGGTTCATTAGCATGACACCAGAATTTACCCCTGAAATAAACAGAGGAAATTAATAAAAGGCAAGAGCCTAAGGTAAAGGACGCATTGGTTGACACTATAGTGAAGGATTTTCACTTCTTTACACATATTGCCAAAGAGATATTTTTTTTCCCCAAAATAACTTGAGAAAACGGAACAAATAGGGTTTTTGCTAACTATAGCACAAATTTTAAAGATATTGTTAATATTAGCACTAAATAAAAAAAATATCTTATGTCTTTGTAATTTCACCAAAAGTTGACTTTCGAGAATCACAAAATTCCAAAGATTGACACTCTTCTACACCAATAGTTGACAAAACAATTATTTTGATAACATGCTTCAATAATTTCAATTTAAACCAACATTCCCATTAATATTCAATCATGGTCACTCTGTACAGAATTAATCAGGAATCGGAAATACTTTAAAATAATATTTAACTTTCAGTATTTATTCACCTTTTTTTTTAACCAAGTGTTGACACTTTTGGAACCAGTGCTTGACAATATTTGACGAATTTGTCGGTAGCTTTTTTCTTGTCAGAATGACTTCTATGTACAATAAAAAACAAATAAATGATAAAAAAANATCATAACGAGATACAGTTCCGGTCGGATTTTGTCCTGCAAAAGTCGACAAAAGGGTTACCACTTTATTATCCTTCCAGATGACATATCAATACCATCAGAGGTTCCTACAAATTCTTCTGTTGTTCCACGACTACTATTTTTTAGGTCCTTCTCTGTAGGTAATTTGCAATCGGGAATGCGGTTCCTTTTTACAGTTCCTAAACTATAAATTCCTCGTCTGGCAAGATGTACCAGAAGAGGAACAGATGTATAATAATTATCAAAGTACACTCTGTAATTCATATTTGATGGAACCAACCTACATAGTCGAGCAACCACATTCGATGAAGCTCCAAGATCAGGTTCATTAGGTAATATTACATTTTCTTGGTGTACATTTCAAAATTATAAGCATAGCCTGACACCCCACAGAGTACGAATAATTTAAATCCCCATTTGTGATGTTTTTTTGGCAAATACTGTTTTAGATAATGTTTTGCTTTACAGGAACATATTTGCTCATCGACAGATAAATATTGCTCAAGGGGCAAATCTCGGATTACACCTAGATCTTTGGTTTCAATAGTAGAATGTAAGGTCCGATTATTTATACTTTATTCATATTCGAAAGTGATTGGTGATGTGTTCTATGAAAGCAAAGAATTTGGCATTTGGATGCATTCAAACACATACCATTTTGTGAACACCAGGTAGATAGGCAATCTATATCATTTTGTAGACACAATGTATCAGCTTCTTTTTTAATTATTTTAAAACATTTTAAATCATCGGCAAATAGCAAAGCTTCGCTTTCATGTAAACACCTGATTAGATAATTGATAAAAAGGTTACACAGTGGTCCCAAATGTGAACCTTGTGGAACACCCGATGTAACTGCGATGGTATGAGAATAGTAATGATTAACTCTAACAATTTGCGTTCTTTCCATTCTTTTAATTTAGCACCTCTAGTTAGGTTGGTAGTTAGGTTGGCATAACTGATTTCCGGTAATGTTCATGATGGCTGAAATTCCAACCACTTCACTTCTTGTTGTTCTACCTGGTTAGCATCGTTATTGAAGGCTCTGCTCATTTATGTATTTTGGGATTATTTATGAAGTGTTTATTATTTTATGGATAGGCCTTTCTACAACTTCTGGATTGGAATTAAAAAAAAAAGGAAAAAATATACTCATATTGAAAATTAAAAATTTAACATTGTTGAAACTCTCTACATGCAGCGTTCTCTTATCATAAATTGTCAAAACGAATTGCTCAGCTTTCTTACCTAATTTTCCATAATACGGATGCTTTGCAAATCGATTGTACCATCCAACATTTGGGTCTTCATGTTCAGGAGCTAAGGCTGCCATCTGACTAGAATTGAACTTGCTGAAATGTTCCCAAATAGTTTCTACTGGTGTCAAAAATAGAGTATCTGTATCCATGTACAAAATAGAATCAACATTTTCGAGTAAATTCTGTGGAATGTAAAATTTCATAAATTTCCTTGAATTTCAATAGGAAACATTGCGAAACTTACAGGCAAAAAAAGTCGCTGAGCAGCACATGGTTTGAAAAGTTTTTTCCATTCCAAAGGATTGTCTGATGGAAATGTTAATGGTAACACTTGGAATGTGAAGGCATTGTTCATAAACGCTCTCCACTCGCCCAACTATTTTGAAAAAAGATAAACAAGTTATGTTCGATTGGTTAGTGGAAAAACAGATTTTAAACAGAAACAGATTGTCGAAATAGTTGAGAAATCTTCATGAAAAACAAATATGATAAACATTGTGCAATTTCAAAAGGAAGTAGGTTTATTTTCTTCAATAGGACGGTAGCAAAACGTTAGCCATACAATGTATTGCATTTTACTTAGAGTATGGTCTGTTTTTACTTACAACCTTTCATTTAACTTGCAAAGTTTGTATGTTAGTTTTAGTCAAATTCTTGCAAATGAATTTCAAAGCAGTTATTTTCAAACGTTCAAGCAGAAACTTTGTATACATATTTTGTTTGAATGACAATGAATGATTAGCCATTTCAAATCCAAGATGGCGGTTTAGTACTTTTCAATTTACCCCCCATTATACGGATATCAAAAAAACAGTTTACCGAAAAGAATACAAAAATAACTGGACGTCCCCATAAATCTAGTACAGAAGATTTCCCAATATGGCTATCAAATGAAATAGTTACTGAGAAGAAAATTACCATGACGTCATTCTAAATCTAATATGGTGGTCAGCCCAAAATGGCAGAGTTATTTTTTGGTCACCTCCATATTATGGGTATCAAATGAAAGAGTTTGTTGAAAAGAATAAAAGGATGAAGGTAAAAACTAACTTGACTCGAGCATTTGTTTTAGGAACCGACCATGTAACAATTACACATTAAATGAAATGAACAGACTAAGTAACACATCAAGCAATAACTAAAAAAGAAATATATAAAAAAGCAATTGCTAGTAAAAACGAATTTAAAGCAACCTTTTCTATACATGCTCTAGAAAAAAGGTGAACTTTGAGTAAAATCAAACCTATCAATTTATTATATTGCATAATTTATGAGATATAGAATCTTCTCATGAGATTCACTTGTGCAGATAGATAAGAATACAGTTTGTAACTTGATCTTGACATAAGTTTTTCGAAGAATCTACGAGACAAGCTTGTATATCATATAAATTGCGTAATGTAATAAATTGATGAAATTGATTTGATTTGAAGTTTATTTTAATATTTTAGGGCATATAAATAAATGCTTGTTCTTAAAAAATTTTTTGCTAAATTTATTTATATATATCTGCCAC